GTCCCCAACTTTTCTGGCACCAGGGACCGGTTTGGTGGAAGTCGCCACTCTCTTCCAGCTGTGGGCCCAGTTCCTAAAAGGCCACGGACAGGTGCCATAGGGTGGAGACCCCTGATCTATATAACACAGCTTTCCTCTCATCTAAATTTCAATATATCAGTCCATCAATCTACAGCCCATAACCAGAGGTGCTTTATTTCAGGTTTTCTTGGTCTGATGTGGGGTTCTTCTTTATGAATGGCTAGTGAACGTGGTGACGGTATGCCAGGGCTCATGGCCATTTTGGTTTGTGCTGCTAAAACGTCATGATACAAGGACAGGAGCAGCACAGCAAGCTTTGTAGAGGAAGCCATCATAGGAAGATTGTTTTAGACAGACAGGTTTCTTTAAAGAACTCCTGGTGTGTCACTTCCCCTAGCACTTGTTGCTTTAGTGATAGCAAGGGGTCTCTATACTGCAACCTGAGAATCAGATTCCTGTATAATTCTTCATGGTGTGACAGGCACAGAGATCCTGATCTCCCAGGTTTATCTGCTATATTGTTTAAAAAAAGGCCCTTTATAAAGCAAAATACAGCATTCAACAGATTGCTACAGCAGTTCTTAGAATTCAGGGGTTCTGTCAATGGCTAAATCTTCCACCTTAAGTTCACACAGGGTAGAGTGACTGGTGAAAGCTTTTCCTGCAGTGAGGAAAATTCACCAATTGCTGCAAATTCACTTGCCATTATTGAACTTTCAGAAGGGTATCACGCACTGATGAGAGACCAGCTCCATAGACAGAGCAACTTATATTTCCATCTTGTGCTATCTCAAGCAGTTGGAAAATAGGATGTCAAAAGCAAAAAATATTGCCAAAACAATTTTTACCATGGATCAATGCAAGAGGGGAAAGGTTCAAAGTGTTGCAAAAGCAAACCATAGTTTTGCTGTAATTTCAGCTGCCTCAGAGCTGAGCTGGAAATAAAAGATTCAACTTCCAACTCTGCCGACATTGTAGAATCAGACAGACCCCAGAGTTGCTTTCAAGTCACCACAGAATCCTGGGGTGGAGCTGTTTATTGCTGCTAATGCAGCTTTAAATTGATGTTATTGCTGATTGTGAGAATGAGCTGTGAGCAAGAATGAAATGTTTGTGCCTGTGGTGCTGTTTCATCTAAGTCTGGCTCCAATTTGATCAATATTTAATACATTTTATACTATCCATCTGGATAGTCCTGGTGGCAGAGTGGGGTAGCTCAGATGAAGCAGGGGCAAAAAAAGCCATGTTAGAACTAGACAAGTAAACTTTAAGATAGGAAGCCTATTGCAATGATTAAATAATCTGCTTTGGTAATCTGCTAAATCCACTGTATACAGGGAAACAAGTTATACAGATAACATATGCAAACTGGTACTTCTGTACTATCGTAAAAAAATGACTGACCCCAAAAAAGTGACATAAGGCAAGTGTCCTTTACCACAAAAATTCTTTGAAAATATAAACGCAATACACTTATTTTTCCTTTTAGGATAAATTCTTTCAGAGCTATTTAATAACATTTGCCTGTGGGGACATCTAGTGGTCATGTCTTGGTTTGACAGGATGATTCATTTTTGCCTAGATTTTTTTACAAGGAAAAGCTGTTTTTGTTTTTTTATATATTGAAATTGTTCATTAGAAACTGTATTATATCCACTCTTTCTGTATTATAACTTTTAGGTGCTATTTTTTCTTCTTCTCTGAGATATGTTGTATGTGTGTGTGTATATGTGTGTGTATATAAAAGAATAGTATACTAAAAATTCACAGAGTATAAAATGGCTTTGTAAAAGAAAAAGGGTTTTTTGTGTTTTTGTTATCCTTTAGGATTTATGAGGAGTCTTATAAAATAGTTTAAATTCTTCTCTGATAAATTTATGTGAGGTCCCTAGGGAGAAAAAGATAAGATAAGATAAGATAAGATAAGATAAGATAAGATAAGATAAGATAAGATAAGATAAGATAAGATAAGATAAGATAAGATAAGATAACCTTTATTGTCATTTTTTTCTGTGGGCACAACGGCACACATCAAAAATGAAATTTAATTGCCCGCTCTCAAAGTGAAACACATACATGACACGCACCTAAAACATACTATGTACAACATATGTATAGACCCACGCCCCTACATATACATAGCAAATAAATATTAAATACTGTCCATCTTGAATATATAATGGAAGGAGGAAGCTTGAGAGTTCACAAGGTTAATGCTGTATGGAATGAAACTATGGCTGAATCTGGATGGTCTGCTATGGATACCACGAAGCCTCCTCCCAGAAGGTAACAAGGAAAACAGGTCGTGAAGAGGGTGTGTAGTGTCCCAGATAATCTTACGGACCCTGCTCAAGCAGCGCTTCTGTGTTATGTCCTGGATGAGAGGGAGGGAACAGCCAATGATCTTTTCGGCCATTCTCACCACTCTCTGCACCGCCTTCCTGTCTGAAGCAGTGATGCTTCCAAACCAGACTGTGATGCTGTATGACAGGATGCTCTCGATCGTCCCCCTGTAGAAAGTGGTCAGGACAGGGGAAGGAAGATGTGCTTTTCTCATGCGACGCAGAAAATGCAGGTGCTACTGTGCCCGCTTCACCAGTTTCTCACTGTTGAGCGACCAAGCCAGCCTACTCGTTAGCTGCACACCCAGGAATTTGATGCTGGTAACCATCTCCACAGGTGAATCATTTATGCACAGAGAAGTGTGGCTGTGCCTGCCTTTTCTGAAATCAACAATGATCTCTTTGTTTTTTCTGGTATTTAAAACTAGGCTGTTTTCCTTACACCAGTTCACCAACCCCTCAACCTCCTTGCGGTAAACTTCCACCTTGTCATCCTGAATGAGGCCCACTACTGTTGTTTCATCTGCGAACTTCACAATATGGTTGGTGGCAAACCTAGCACAACAGTCATGGGTCAAAAAGAACCTAAACAGTTTGTATATAAAGTGTATTAATATTTAATAATTATAATCAAGAAACATGAGAATTAGTTTTAACAAATTGCAAAATTTTACAATACATCCCACTATAGCTAAAGTATCGACAGCCAAACATTCTGCCATGAAAAATTACCGCTATTAAATGTATATTTATTACCAGTCCTAATATTGTTCAATATCCAGTTCAATAAAGTGCACAGAACTATCACTCGTCTATCACATCAAATCAATTTTTCAGAAGCCAGCTAGACAGAATGCAAAATAAACTATTTCCCCTGCTAATCCAGAATGCCTCGTTTCAATATTCCCATTCTGATCCTTTATTTTTTCAGTCACTTAATCTGAAATAAGAAACCATTTGGGAATAATGTCTAGGACAGTGGTTCTCAACCTGTGGGTCGGGACCCCATTTGGGGTCGATCGACCATTTCACGGGGGTCGCCAAGCAACGCTGTCAGCCATTTTTTTGTCCATTTTTTTTGTCCGCCATTTTTTCCCCCTTTTCTGGCGGGTGCCTTACCTCCCTTGGGCTGGGCCAGCTGTTGGTCGGCCTGCTCCGTCTCTGCTGCTTGCCAGCTATGCCTCGGCCGGCGCAGGGGGTGGAACCACGCATGCGCGGCGCTCCCGGGCAGGGAAAGTCCTCGACTTACCACCGGTTGGGTAGTCCTCGACTTACAACCGGTTTAGTCCTCGACTTATGACCGGTTTAGTCCTCGACTTACGACCAGTTGGGGTCGCGGCATTAAAAAGGTTGGGGAACCACTGGTCTAGGAAGACAATCCTACACTCCATGAATATCCTCCTACACTCAGGAGGATCTTCAACCAACACAACATACGTGCATACTTTAAACCCAAGAATACACTAAGGCAGATGTTTGTCCACTCCAAGGATAAAACACCCAGACATAAACTAAGCAATGTGGTACATGCAGCACAATGCAGTGAGACATGTGCAGATCTGTACATTGGGGAAACAAAACAATCATTTCATAAATGCATCGCACAACATAGGAGAACAAACCCATCAGGACAAGATTCAGCAGTCCACCTGCATTTAAAAGACGAAGGCCACTCTTTTGAAGACAGCAAAGTCCACATGTTGGACAGAGAGGACCCCTGGTTTGAAAGAGGGGGCAGAGGCCATCTCAATAGAGGGGGAGAGATAAGACATCATCTATCTCCAGATTACAACACAGTCCTTTCAGCAGTTCCAAGAAGGCTCCACACCCATTTGCACTACTCAGGTGACCCTAACAACACAGATAAACCTCCCGGTGGCTTCAATGACTCTCTAAAAGAATACAAATGACCAGCTGTCTGCAAGGAATGTAAATCCTTCCATTCCCCACCATCCAGTCAGAGCTGAAGAAGCTTTTTGGATGAGAAGCAAAACGTCTTCAAAGAAAAACAAGAAAGTCCAGTTGCCTCTTGAAAAAGCATCTTTGGGACAACCATGAACTGGATGACTGAGAATCTCCATAGTCGTACACTCCATGCTGCTGTTTACAGAGGTGGGAAAACAGCTATTTCACTGACTTGGGGATGAGTTCCATTTCGTGGCTGAGATTGGGTGGGAGGATTGGGTGGGAGGGATGGAGGGGAGCAGGAGAAAGAGAGGAAGAACTTTTCAGATTATCAAATTTAAGCAAGTTTTTAGAATATACATCTCCCAATATTATCTGTTTTGGAGAGCTTAACTAATTTATTCTGACTCTCTTCTGGTTATTTGAATCACAGGAAAGTTCACATGTTTCTTTGAATTGCAGATCTGCTGATGTTTTTCCATTAGTAGGAACTCTTGTCTTACTCATCTCCCAGTCATTACTTTCTCTTCTCCTTCTCCCCTCCCTCCCTCCCACACAATCCCTGCAAAGGACTCAGTATTTGGTTCCTTGAATTTGTCTCTTCCTATATATTTAGAACTTAACTCCCCCTGCCATTGATCCAATCCCCACAACAACATGGAACCATAATACAGCTATTGGAAAAGCATCCAGGGACTAAACTGCTGCCATATTAGCATTCCACCAAGGAGCTAACGTAATTGGAAAGCTTTTAGAAGATTGTGGTGCTTTTGTTTATATTTTTCACAACTGAGCTTCTCTCATATAACTTCCATTTCTGCACTGTAGCATTTCTTTGCAAACCATCAGATAAATGCATACAAATAAATGGACTCAGATTTAAGCAGACTGAGTGGTGGAAACTGACTAGGTGAGTTCGTGTTTGTTTATCTGATGGGATTTGTGTACCACCTAACACCAAACCCACTTTAGCCAGGTTTTCAAATTTACATATGAACCACAATGCAAATTAAATATAGCAAATTCCTATCTAATTATTGTGGAGCAAACAGGAGGTTGCAAATATGTGTTGCCTTGAATTATACTGTACAGAATAAAGGCGGGCTGTACAGTACATCTAATAAATAAAAAGCTGAAATGTATCGAGTATGCTGCTGCTAATTCTTATTAATCGCTAAGACGTTTCAACTGTTTCTGGAAAGTCATGAGGCCGTTCTTGCCTCACGGGGAGCAATTCCAAAACAAGGGCTGCTGCAGAAAGTGACCCTCAGGGGCCACGTCTCCCTTTTAATCTGGTAGGTGAGGACTCTCACCAAGCTTCCCAACTGGTTAGTAGGACTACTTAAGAAAGGTAGTCCCAAAGAAATGCAGGCACTGAACCATAGAGGGAGCAGTGTTGTGTTTCAGCAGTATTTCAATGTCTCTAGGAAGGATGATTTGGGGTCAGGTTCAAATTGTTTGTGAGTGACTGAGGGTGTATCCAGGGTCTGAAAAGAGACAAGAAGATGCCACTTTCCCATCTACTGTGAATCATATCCCAACTTAATTTGAAAACATTGTTTTAGGTGCCATGAACTAATCATCTGCTGAAGTAACAACAATGAAAATAAATATGACCAACACACTGGGGCATTTCAGATGTCTTAGACCAGTGGTGGCAAACCTATGGCATGTGTGCCAGACACGGCACTCAGAGCCTTCTCTGTGGGCACATGCGCCGTCGCCCCAGCCCTGCCTTCCCCTGCAGCCCACTTCTCACCAGCAGCTCCCCCAGAGGAGAGTCGCCCTTGAGCGTGGCCCGCGTGGAGCACCACAGCCAAGGAAATGGCAGCTAGGCAGCAGGGACAAGACTCTGCCCTTACGCTCCATCGCATGCAGTTGATGCTGTGGGGCGTGGGTGGAGGGCGTGGCTGCCATGGCGCTGCTGGGCTGCCTGGGCGATCTGCGGGGGCCATAGAGGTGGTGAGTGGCCCTGCAGGTGGGCAGGGCAGGGGTGGGACAGGGTGGGTGGGGGCAGGACAGGGGCGGGGTGGGGCCGGGGCCAGTTTTTGGGCACTCAGTCTCTAAAAGGTTCACCATCACTGTCTTAGACCAATTTCCATAATTACCAAGCTAGCATGAATACCAGACTGGGGAAGGCTGATGGTTGTAACACTAAAGACCAGGACACAGAGAGAAAATAGATTTCTAGATACTGGTCTCCACTCTGTCACGGTCAGCAGATGAACACCTACTATAATTTGCTATAATTGGGGAAACGGGATGAGAAGTTTAAAACACCATGAATCAATTGATGCCAGATTGAATATATGATGAATTTAATGCAATGGTTCTGCAAAATGAGCAGCTGAATCCAACTTTTTCACATGGAAAAATTGTCAAGTTTTATGCTTTGGGAGTATTTTGTTTGCTAAGGGAGATTTCAACAACCACAACAAATTCAATTTGTTTTGACTGCAAAGAATTTTCCTAACAGGGTTTAAAAAAAACAAAACAAAAAACTGGTGTTTTTAAACACAACAGGTGAATAATAATTATAAACAATGAATATCTGGGGAATACTTAAAAGATAATTGCATTTATTACAGCATAAAAGATAACAGATACAGTCTGGCTTCATCAGATACTGTAACATGCATTGTTTTAGTTGTTAATTGATAACATGGTTACCCTTTTGAAAATTAGCCTGGATCACTATGACCCTATTATATGTTAAGGTAAGTTGATGTGTATTTAACACAACATCTATTCTAAGTCTTTCATAGGTATAACTACCGGTACATATATAGTATACATCTTATTATTTCTGAAAGAAAAATTGCAGCATTTTCATTTGGATTTTGTATTCTTTGTCATTTGTTTAGATGAATTCCAACTATTTTTTTAAGTCAGCTTTAGGATGAGCCTTTAACATATAATTTCTAGTTAATGGGTTATTGTTATTTTAGATAGAAAAGGAACTTTTTAACAATGTATCACACAATAAGCTGGAAAATCTTGTTTTTGTTACAGTGTGATCATTAATTTGACACGAAGAGCAAGTATACCCTGCAGAGTCACATTATTCTGGTAATTCTTAAGCAGCAAAGTCAAAGGTTAATTGTTTGTATTTACTACACGGTTCAGAATTATCCCGTACTTGTGACTTAACCTGAGAGCTGTTTGAACTTTACAGTGCAAAATGTCATATGATTTGTTGGAATTATTATTTAATAGTCCCCCTGGAGGGCTTAAATACATTGCTTATTGATTAGACACTTAATAGTTTTTTAAGTGATTAATTCTATACTATTTGCTTCTTTGCCTGACTGCATTCTGTCATTTTTGCAGCTCAGTGCTGCCTGCTCTTGAAATAATTTCACTGATTTATTTTTTTTAAAAAATGCAAAAGAGAGAGAGACAGAGACAGAGACAGAGACAGAGAGACAGAGAGAGAGAAGCAACATGGAGTATTATTCCAGCTGTTATGAACTGATATACAGAAAAAAGGAGGCAAATGCATTCCTTGCCCTGAATGTCAGGATCTCATGACATAACTTTGTTTTCATCTCCAAAAGCTCTAGTCATCAACCTGGAGACCCCCAGGTGTGGGGAATTACGGCCTGCAAACTGTATTAGTAGAATACAGGTAGTCCTCAGCTTATGACCACAATTGAGCCCAAAATTTATCTTGCTAAGTGAGACATTTGTTAAGTGAATTTTGTCCCACTTTACAACCTTTCTTGCCACAATTGTTAAGTGAATCACTGCAGTTGTTAAGTTAGTAACACGGTTGTTAAGTGAATCTGGCTTCCCCATGGACTTTGTTTGTCAGAAGGTCACAAAAGGGGACCACGTGACTCTGGGACACTGCAACCGTCATAAATATGAGTCAGTTGCCAAGCATCTCAATTTTGATCCCGTGACTGTGGGGATGCTGCAACAACGGTCATAAGTCCCATTTTTCAATGTAACTTTGATCACTAAACGAACTGTTATAAGTAGAGGGCTATCTGTATTAGAAGTTGTTCTTCTTCCTATTATGCATGCATGCCCACTCATCAGAGTATTATTTAACCATTTTCAGATAAACACTCACGTAGCTAATAATGCAATACATGAACTGAAGCAATTGCAGCAATCCATATGATTATTGCAACATATTTTTCAGTATGGCATCATATATCCATTTAGGCACAAAACAGAATCTGGACAGGTGTGGGAAATGACAAGTAAGTGGCTTGCAGAATTTTTTACCTTATACCAGGAGACTGTTCCGGTTGTGAGCTGTAGATCCTGGGAAACCTTACAAGGGAGAAAAGCATCTTCATTACATGTTGCCTCAACTTCTTGTGGGACATCAGCTACTGCATGAAGCCCACACCAGACTGAAAAACAAAACATACCAGAAAAAGGACACTACAAATGAACATCTTTAGAATGAGTTTCCAAATGAAATATATTTTTTTTTAAAAATAAAGAAAGATCCTGAAGGTGTATGAAGAGGCAGAGAGCAATAAAACATTGAAAAGAAAACTATTTACTTTGAGTTAGGAAGACAAGCTGATAGCAACGCATTGACGCCATGAATGCTCAACAGAAGGGGAGATCTTGGTTCTTTTCAGGAGAAGGAAATGAGAAGTGAAAGAGATGCTGTCTAGCAGCCTGTAAAGGAGACAAATTATTGGGGATTTCCCCTCCTCCCCCAACCCCAAATTAGGGAAGTTTTAAAGGCCACAGGCTGCAGGCAGAAAGTCCCACAGGGTAGCCTTCGTCTTCTTTTTAATAATTAAAAAACCCTTTAATCAGCAGTATTATAACATCATAAGGTCCATAAGCCTATTTTGGAAAATTATTCCACATTTTCCCCAAATAATCCCTTGAAAAGTCCATTAACTCAGTAACTCACCCAA